AATGCCGCAACTACAGCACGGAACTGTTCAGGCTCAGAGGTACTTACAGCCTTTTACATATATACGTATATCGTTCTTTGTACTATTAAGTGATATTAACCTTTTCGCTGCGAAGTGCTCAGAAATTAATTGCTCTCTGGGTAGTCAGTGACAGTAGGAGATTGACACGATCAACGCGGTGTGCGTTAGGAACTGATAGCAAATGCACGGCGCCTAAAGGCGCTCTTCCCTCATAGACAGTAACTCTGGTTGAGCGTCTACAGGCGCTATTCGTTTAGCGAGAGCAACTCTGGTTGAGCGCATACAGGCGCTATTCGCAGTGAAAGAGTTAATCTGCATAGGATTATTCCCCGATATTCCCTTCACAGACAAAAATCTGTAGGTTTGATAAACAACGACAGCTTTTAACCCTTTGCACTCGAAAAGTAAGTTGCAGTCACCATTTCATAAAATTTGGAAGATCAATATTAACACATTGCGTATGGCACTCTGCTCGCGCAACGCGTTTTTGGCGACCCAGAAACACTTTATACGATGCATATATGCACTTTTTTAATTCACATTTGGTATTAAATTCACATAAGGTATTCTTAAATATTATTTTATATATGGGAGACTTCGTTACTCTGGTAACGTAACAAGAAAATTTATTTTTAATTCCTTAAATCATCGATTGAGTCGAAGGTACCTGAAACCGAGATATCTCGTCACCCGTACGCAATGTGTTAATTAATATATCAAGTTTAATGTAATGTTACAGTATGCGAGGTATCGAAATCAAATAATTCTATAATTCTATTATTATACAATTCTTTATTTACTGATCAAAAAAGTATCGTCAGTTTTTAGTAGAGAATTTTTGAATTTCTACTCTTCTCTAGCTAAAAAATCGTCGAGTGCGAAGGGTTAATAACAGAAACAGATTTGAGTTAAAATACAGCGTCGTCTTCATTGCAATTCTAATTACAACTCTTTAAAACTCTATTACGATCACACACACTCTACGCATTCTATATATTCTCGCTATGATTCGCTAAACTCTATATACTCTGACTCTTTACCTACTCTTTATCTACAGCCTCGCCCGCGCCCTTGCATCCTTATTTAACACGGTTTAAACGCCACGCCGGTTTTACGTGCCGTTCCGTTCACGCCATAGTTAGCCGTCATGCGGGCCCTTATGGGCCATATGGACCGACGAGGCCTGAACGGAAAATCTAGCGCTGGTCCCTAGGAACCATGCAACATTCTCTCTTCTTTCATACGCAGTCATTTTTCCTCTATCTCTCATTTCCCACGCGATCTCGCCCTCGGTGGGCCAAGTACTTGAAATACTCGGAAGCATTCCTAATCTTTCGTTCGTTGCTCGAATTGAACTCTATGCAGTCATAAATGCTGTCATAAATCATTCTGCTATCCCTCTCAATAATATTTCTATTCTTATGTACCTTCGTCTCGCGATACCCCAATGTTAACACTTTGCGTATTCGAATAGGTGCATACGAAGAAGGCCAGGAACAATTGGAAGCTGTCCGTCGCGAAAACAAGAACCTCGCCGACGAGGTGAAAGATCTGTTGGACCAGATTGGCGAAGGTGGACGCAACATTCACGAGATCGAGAAGGCCAGAAAGCGCCTGGAGGCTGAGAAAGATGAACTTCAAGCCGCCCTGGAAGAAGCTGAGGCCGCTTTGGAACAAGAAGAAAACAAAGTACTGCGCAGCCAACTCGAACTGAGTCAAGTGAGACAAGAGATTGACCGACGCATCCAGGAAAAAGAGGAAGAATTCGAAAATACCAGGAAGAACCACCAGCGTGCTCTCGATTCTATGCAAGCATCGCTCGAAGCTGAAGCTAAGGTGAGCTTTAATAAAACTTTTCGGGGAACTATTTCGATGAACAAACGCAAACATCGTGTTCCAATTCACACTCAAGCCAATTAGTACCGAATTTTATATTTTCCTTTCGAAAAGTTTCTTTAACCCTTTCGCTATGACGGGTTCTTCTATTCCCATACTGAAGGTGGAAACATTATACTCGCGCTGTCTTTAGCATTCGGGGCCAAGTCTTTAGAAAAACAAAAAAAAAAGAAAATGAAAAATCGATCATCTCAATAGTGTTTGCAATTCTTTACGAAAAGAGCTAAGCAGAATGAAAGCACTTGTCTTAACCACTTGCGGTGGCAAGGAATCCACAGATTCCTTCTAGGTGCCAGAACCGTCCAGTGCTTCTGTAACAATTGCCTAACACGTGTATACCACGTCGTTGGCGATTCTGTGACAAAAGCATTACGACGTGTATACCACGTCGTTGGCGATTCTGTGACAAAAGCATTACGACGTGTATACCACGTCGTTGGCGATTTAGTGACAAAAGCATTACGACGTGTATACCACGTCGTTGGCGATTCTGTGACAAAAGCATTACGACGTGTATACCACGTCGTTGGCGATTTGGTGACAAAAGCATTACGACGTGTATACCACGTCGTTGGCGATTCTGTGACAAAAGCATTACGACGTGTATACCACGTCGTTGGCGATTTGGTGACAAAAGCATTACGACGTGCGTGACACGTCTTTCCAGCGCAAGTGGTTAATCTTTGGCCGATGACTATAGTCACCCATTGTGTGTAGGTGGCATCTCGTGTCCCGTAACCATAGTCACCCATAGTAGTGAAAGCGTTAAGGTAATCGATTCGTTTCGTACACTTTTCAGGGCAAAGCTGAGGCCTTACGTATGAAGAAGAAACTGGAAGCCGACATCAACGAGTTAGAAATCGCTTTGGACCACGCAAACAAGGCGAACGCTGAAGCTCAGAAGAACATCAAGAGATACCAACAGCAACTGAAGGATGTGCAGACCGCGCTCGAAGAGGAACAACGGGCACGCGACGAAGCAAGAGAACTCCTTGGAATTTCGGAACGTCGGGCAAACGCTCTCCAGAACGAACTCGAGGAAAGCCGCACTCTTCTCGAACAAGCTGACCGTGGACGTCGCCAGGCTGAACAAGAATTGGCTGATTGCCACGAGCAACTTAACGAACTGGGTGCTCAGAACGCTTCTATCTCTGCTGCCAAGAGGAAACTCGAAGCTGAACTCCAGACCCTTCACGTGAGTGTCTTTGCCCTTGTGTTCCCTTTATTCGTTAAAATTTTTAATAATCCCAATTTCTTTTCTAGTCTGATCTGGATGAGCTGTTGAACGAAGCCAAAAACTCCGAGGAGAAAGCAAAGAAAGCTATGGTCGATGCCGCTAGACTGGCAGACGAACTCCGAGCTGAACAAGATCATGCTCAGACGCAAGAGAAACTCCGCAAAGCACTCGAGACCCAGATCAAGGAATTGCAAGTACGCCTGGATGAAGCCGAAGCTAATGCCCTGAAAGGTGGCAAGAAGGCGATCCAGAAACTCGAACAACGCGTCCGTGAATTGGAGAACGAGCTTGACGGAGAACAGAGGAGACACGCTGACGCCCAGAAGAACCTTCGCAAGTCCGAACGCCGCATCAAGGAACTCAGCTTCCAGGTACGAATTGAACGATACAGGTCTACTAACTGAATCTACTAAAAGAAGCTGTGGCGGCTAAGATTTCGCCACTACGCCCATGCCAAAGGAGCAGGTAAATTAGGGCCGAGTGTGCACCGGGTGTATCTCCGAAACGTACCAGCAGTCACTGCAGGCCAGCAGGCATTGTTCCCGGGATGGCATTGGCTATCGTCAATGTCATGCCGGGGATTAGTTTGGAACCGGGCAGTGATGTTGCTGACCAACGTCTCGCTTGATTTACGACCCCCCTCTGCAGTCATCACGACTTTCCCGCGCAAACGGTTCCCGTGGAAACATAGTTTTTCCCGCGCGCGGGTTGGCGGTTCTTTCCCACCCTTTCCGTGCACACTCGGCAGCTTTAAAAGCTCCTAAGACACAGGACTCGGGATCAGTTCGTGGCATTCTACGACGCCGAGATTATTGTCCCGTCCACCGCGACGAGCGCCGGCATACGCAGTGCGAACCACCACAAAGCGAATTTTAAATGCTTGATTAATAATAACTATCGTTGAAATCCATAGGCTGACGAAGACCGCAAGAACCATGAGCGCATGCAAGATCTTGTCGACAAGCTTCAACAGAAGATCAAGACATACAAGAGGCAGATAGAGGAGGCTGAAGAAATCGCTGCTCTGAATCTCGCTAAATTCCGCAAGGCGCAACAAGAACTGGAAGAAGCGGAGGAAAGGGCGGACCTCGCAGAACAGGCCATCACCAAGTTCCGTACTAAAGGACGCGGAGGAAGTGCTGCGCGTGGACTGAGCCCAGCGGTAAGTCGATATTAAAATTACCATAGTCGACATTTGCAACCATACCGTACCCTTCTATACTCTCTATATACCATGCTTAGCAGTGATGTTTCTTTATGCAAGGAAGAATTGAATCCTTCAGTTTATACGTAGAATATCTTCGCCGTATTAGTGTCAAAAACCCTTTCGGAAGTTAGGTATTTAAACGAATGAAATGAAAACTCTCAGCTAATTCTGAAATCGGTTATTTTCGGTATTAATGTCAATTCGTAGTCGTTATTTCGCAAATTTAATCGAAGATCCTCCGAGAGATTCCGTGATATCGATGCCAAGTATAGAAACGAGTCAAAAGGAAATGAAGGTTCAATTATTATATATTGTAAGGGGAGCAGAAGAAAGGGCTGGGTTAAAATGAGTCTATCATTGTATTTTATTCCGTTAGATACGATATTCTCATGCCGGGCTCGTCTCTCACGTGAAACTCCGCGATCCGCTACTCGAGATGCCTTTTTAACACTTTCGGTACGAGGAAGTTTGCCACAAGAGTGGTTGTATGGCAGCGTAAGCCACGAAAACGTGTTTTGCGGTATTCATGGAAATTTCGAGCGTGATTGACAGTAAACTTTTCGCTCGGACCGCGACCGCCATCGGTGACGTTTCGTGATGCCGCCACTAGGAGGCGGTAGTACCCAGTGAAGGTGTCATGGCCACCACTAATGGGCGGCAGTAGTACCGAAAGGATTAACCTTTTGCACACGATGATTTTTTCGTTCCAGGAAAATAGTAATTCGAAGATTTTCTGCCATAAAGTCGACGATATTTTTAAAACGGTAAATAAGAAATCGTGTGCAAATTAAGACGTAGAATTATTTTACTTCGGTAATTGTGAACTTGATATATTAATTAACAGCCATCTTTAGTGCAAAGGGTGAAAGGTGGGCCTTCTTTGTTAACCCTTTGCACTCAATAAGCGCCCCTCAGTCGCCATTTGATAAAATTTCGAAGATCGATATTAATTAATACGTCAAATTTAAGATAATGTAACGGTGTTCGAGGTACCGAAATCAAGTAATTCTACTTGTTAATTATTATACGATTTCTTATTTACTGCTGAAACAAATATCTTCAGCTTTATATCAGAAAGTCTTTGAACTCATACTCTTCTTTAACCAAAAAATCGTCGAATGTAAAGGGTTAATCTACTACTACTAATGAGTAACCAGAACTCGCATATTCTTACGTACTCTTACAATATATAATAACATGTAGTAATGAAAATAGTTGATGTAGATAATACATTTGGAGCTAAGTAATATGCACCTTACAGCATAAGATGTACGCGAAGCAAGAAACATTTTAGCATAATAGGGATCTCTTCTTGAGACTTGTCAGGTTAGGTGCATACCCAATCTCAGTTATCCCGCAGTAAAATCTTCGCCCCGGAAAATGATACATAGGATCGAGTAACGAATGTCGAGTCGACGAAGGAACTCTTATATAAGATGAAAGAAATGAGAGATTGCGGCAATTATCTCTAATTCTAAATCTGTATGTCCCTGTATAGCCCCAACAGAAGGCCCGTAAGGCGCCCTCCGCAATGGAGTAAAGAGCACCGCGCCGGTCCATGTAAGTTTGTGCACGTGTCATAAGCACGTGTGTGTGTCGGAAGAAGGGAGAGCACAATAATCGCAAGAAAGCAATTATATATAGACGGAATTGTTCCGTATCCCCGATCTGCCGATCGTCAATGTCTTATTTTTTTGAACCTGTGTGAAAAGCTGATAACACTTCAAGGGGCATACCTTACGAGTATGAAGCTTGGTCCTGGTCATTAACGTTGTGTACTACCTATCCCAATAAATTCACGATAGATCACGAACGGATCACTGTAGATCCCTCTGTACAAAATTTAGCCGAGTCATTGCTTGGTTAGTGATTAGTTAGTCACATGTACGCGTGAATAGATTTGTTTACGTATGTTTTTTACTTAGACAGTGTACGCCACGCGATGAGATATAACAATCGAGATCACGTCATCGGTCATTTGTCGTTGCTAATTATGACTTTCGCCATACTCGTAAATACATCGACCACTTTGTTTCTTTTCACGAAACTAAGAAGACAAAATCATTCCAAAAATTATGCAAGAGAGGTATTACGACCCTCGATTAATATCCCATTGTTGGTTTTCGATTGCAACACCAATCATCTGCGATAAATACGCAAATTGTATGAAAAGGACACAAAGAACGTGTCACTAAATACCCCAAAAATGTTTTTCTCTATATGTATCAAATATAATTAGATCCTGGTTAAGGATGGGATTCAGATGGGATTTGGATTAGGGATGGAATTAAGAATCATTCGTCGAGTATCACCGTGATAGTCTCACGATGTTCGAGACGAAAGAATTTCGCGATAAAGAAAAAAGAGAAAATAAAGAGAAAATATTTGCACAGCGACCGCGAAAATTCCCCAAATGAAAAGAGAACGATATACGAACTTGATCCCATCGCTAAAATTCGAAAAAGATTTTCTTGGAAAAACTGCTTTCGAACAAATTCACCGCCCCATCGTTAACAACGATCTCAGGAGCCAAAGACGGAAATAATAAGATGGTCTTTTGAATTTTTCAGCCACACCGACCTGCGTTCAAACCCCAATTGGATGGTTCCGCATTCCCGCCACGCTTCGACCTGCAGCCCGATGGTGAACTGTAAAAATCTACGCGACCAACTTGTTATAAAACACAATCGTAACAGCTTAATCTAAACGAATGAATTGATCGCAAACCGGCGAACTTTCATCGTGTCATTTCACTCAAATAACTCATCCCATTGTCTTCATACCTACACACACCATCACGCTAAAGTACAGAAAGTAACTCTCACGTTCTTTACTTTCATTGACACGAGAATGTCCGTGCTTAATCACCTTGCCAGTTTCGGAAATAAAAATGAAAACGATATTGATCGATTTAAAAAAATCAAAAAAAATTGCTCGTTTTAACATTTACAGTAGTGTATATTTTTACGTATATATATATATTTGATCATCGGAAAATAAATCAGTTAATAACAAACGTGGAGGAGAATGATTGCCTTCACCACTCGCGCTGACGGTCGAGGAAAGAGAGAGTGAAAGAGTGAGAGTGGGAGAGCAAGAGAGAAAACGAGAGAAATGAAAGGTGCGAGCGGTCGAAATGAAAGACGAGAGCCAGCTCGAAATTTAAACGTTGTTTTATGAAAACGTGGCAGAAAAAGAAACGAACATGTGCATACTGGCATACGCGCGAATCAAGCGGACGAATCGATGAAATAAAAATGATATACACACTGCAAAACACGGAACGACATAACAAAAAGGAACGAGATTACACGATATAAGAAAATGAGGAATGAAGAAAAATTTAACGCTAGTCGCGGATTTGAACGGCAGCGCGCATTATTATATACGTCATCGAAATGATAATCCTATCCTATAAACTTAATTGTAATTTATAAAGAGAGCCGAAGTATGTATTTATTAAAATAAATAAGCAATAAATAAAATTAAGAACCAAATATCACGTTTATTGCTTCGCATGCCTTATCTTTAGCGATTAGTAATGTACACTTAAATATCTATAGAAACACTGCTGTAGATGCGAAAAAGGAAACCAACATTTTGTTTCTACTCGTAGCGACATCGAGGGTCCCGAGTCAGTGAGCGCCTGGTTTATGTCTTTTCGACCAGCGCTCTACGACTCGCGGACACGCGGATCACGACGTTTGGGCTAGGGCTGGAAAGAATCGGTTCGTTGGTGATCAGAGAGCGTTACAGACCTTTTCCTAACCCTTTACGGACGAGTGCCGCATATATGCGTTCTGCGGAAACCATCAGTTTAGCAGAGAAACGCATATATGCGTTCAACGATGACAACTGTTAGGGCCGAGGGACGCATAAATATGTCCCACGTAAACGCGTCACTATGGCCCAGAAACACAAATATGTGCCTGCTGTTGTGGCCCTAGAACCCTCACGTCCCAAGTTAAGTGGTGGACTGTTTTATGTCCTATTAGCGTATAGTACTATTAATCCTTGAAATACCGTTTTTGAAATATTATTATTCGCATTAGAAAATACTATATTACCGACCCTGTGCCCTAGGCAAAACACGATAGCATACTGATGCTTGGGACTAATCCACATGACCCCCATTGGCGCGGGATTGAGATACGCGCGTTCCGTATATGCCACAGAACACAAGCAGAACTACCAATTTGACGTATAGTGTGCAAGCCCCATTTTGTCACCCTTGGTAGGATCGGGACCTTTCTAAGTCTCTACCGTCTCAGGATGGACGGCGCCCGAGCTATACAAAGCGTAGCTTTCCCGTCAGGGTTTCAACCCCTCGTCTGCGATGTAGGCTCTAACCACTACCCCGCGAGTCCAACCCAGCGACCGACGAACGAACGACCAAACGACCACCCTGGCAGGGCTGAATCGGTCTCCCGCGGTACCGGTGATGAGAGCCATACCGGTCGTACCCTTCGTGGAAAACCACTACCTTGTTGAGGCTGCCTGCTTAACCTCCACCTAGGTTAATGCCAACTAGACACAGTGGGGTCGTCAATCCCATACTACGGCTGATCGAAGTCAACCGTAGTCCCTGCAGAGAGAATAAATGGACAGTGAGATTTAGCCAGGACGCGATAGCAGGAAAAAAAAATCTTCAATTCGATTAAGAAAATTTTTATTCTATGCAACCTGCCTAGATCAGTTACACGATATCAAATACATAATCATTTCTCAGTCGGGCAAACACGCGCGTAAGACTTATTACCTAAACGAATTAAATGGATGACAATGCTTTTAAAAAATGAAGTATATATCAGTATCCACTTCTATTGTCCTTTAACCCTTTGCACTAAAATGACGGGTCTAACTCGACAGGTGTCTTTCATGTCGAGTCTCGCGAGTGTAAGCAACACTAATCATATAACCATAATTATATTTCACAGGTTTTCACGTGCACAAATTTCGAAGAATTTTTAAAATTTCGATCTAATTTTATCTTTGATAGGATAAGTATACAGTGGTTAATCAATATTAAATACTAATTCTATGCATGTTTTATCATAATTAAGTCGCAGTGCAAAGGGTTAATCATAGTTTATTCGTTTGTCTATCTAAAATTCTCTTTCCCACTTCTACGTATGAGCTGTTTGAATTGTCCTTTCACGAGTTGCCATTGGGTAAACTTTTTAGTGTTAATTCCAAATTCCTTACAAGTTTCCTCGAACGCATTTGAGCAACGAGTTAAATAATAATGGTCCACCGTTGGTAAAAGATGATGAAGAGCATGTAAGCCGAAATTAGTCAACACTAAGAAGTTGGAATCATCGATCACCTTTCGATCTCTTACGGCGTCCAATTCCAGTAAACCCCAGTCGAGATCGTCCCTAAAAGATAATATTCATTTATTTTAAATTATAGTGTCGCAAGCGATAATGAATATAAATATATATACATACATATACATAATTATTTATATTACTATATCATAATTATAATTAAATATATTACTATATATTTTTATTATATTAATATATTTATATAAATTATATTTACAAAAATATATTTATATTTTTCAATTATATTACGTTAATATAAATAATAGTATACAAATTATAATATACTAATATACTATATATTATCTATTTGTATATATATTTATGTAATAAATTTGTATATATATATAATATACACTTATACAATTGGAAAATATTGTGTATGCCTTCATGCACACGTGTGTGTATCAACACAGTATTATACAATGGTAAGGTTGAAAATCCTCTAAAATTTTTAAGCTTTAGAAAATATCTTTCATTTCCATTATAGATTGATGAATTTAAACATATTACCGTAGTAAGTAATTTTAAATATAATTTTCCAATAAAAATTTACCATAATAAAGAAGATATATGACATACAGGGAGATGAATAATAATAACTAATATAGGATTATATACATGGTATTCAATTGCGAAGAAAGTAAATATAAAATGTCTACATAGATCAGTAAACTGATTATAAGGAAATTATAAGTAATTTATTTCATTTTTTAAAGTTGTTCATTTGATATAATCAAACGTTAAGTTCTAATTGAGAAATTCAGTGTAAATCTAATTTCTAATACTTCTTTCCTAATTTTGTTTTTTTTTTCAGAAAATGTCAATTGTATATCTATATTTCAAACGAAAAAGAGACGTACATGTAAGGCTTTTTTGTGAAATTAAAACATTAAGACTTTTTTGAAAAATTAAGTCCTTCGGGTCATTGATTTAATTGAAACTTTGCAGATTCGTAAATTTAGTCATCCAGTTCAAGAAAATGTATCATTATAAGTGCAACTACTCAATGTGATATCCCTACTAACCTAACCTAACCTTATCTACTTGACGAACATATCAAACTTACAGATTTGCATTTATTAAATCCATTTACATGATTTAACGAATACTGTATATTGCTAAATTGTTTAACTTTTATCCTAAATCTAGGAAGATTTATAGGATATAGAATATTTAAGAAAAGTTATATATAAGAATATTAACCCTTTGCATTCGAGAGACGTCCCTCAGTCGCCATTTAATCACATTCTAAAGATCGATGTTAATTAATATATCAAATCTAAAATTACTCAACGAAGCGTGAAATGCCGAGGTAAAATAATTCCACGTCTTAATTTGCATACGATTTCTTATTTACCGTTTTAATAATATTCTTATTATGGCAGAAATTCTTCGAATTACTATTTTTCGTGAACGAAAGAACCGTCGAGTGCAAAGGGTTAGCCCTTTCGCTACTACGGGTGATTATAGTCACCGGCCACGAGATGCCATCCACAAACGATGGGTGACTATAGTCACCGGCCACAAAAATTGAGTAAAAAATTAAGACAAGTGTTACCGCTTCTCTTAGCTCTTTTCGCAAAGAATTGCAAGTTTTATTGCGATGGTCAGTTTTCCTTTTTCTTTTTTTCTTTGAAAGATTTACGTCAAAAGATCGAATGCTAAAGATTACATTATCGTAATGTTATCTTGACATGTCGCTTCGTTCTACGGGAGAGACTTCACAGCGACGCCCGCCGTAGCAAAAGGGTTAAATATCATTAAATTATTGGAGTCATAAAAATTTTGTGTGAACGAACCTGCATACATCGCCATCGTGAAAGATGTCAGGGTGATGATGAGCTGCATTAAAACCTACCATGAAAAATACGAAACTAGCTGAAATTATAATTAGCAACCATAATTTCACGGTAGTCAGAAGGCTCGGTGCAAAGAAAGACATCAACATTGGTAGAAAGAAAGGTACCGCATCTCGAAATTCAAATTTCTTGTACTCGCAGAACACCGAGTAATATCTGAAACGAATACATTTTTATTAACAATTTATTCGTGATGCTGCGACAAATTATATTTCGATACGAAGGAAGTGATTTAAAATGGGGAACTATAAACGATTACTTTATGTTGTTCATGATTAGATCTGTACATGTGATAATTAAACTGGAATGGTTCTATTTCTAACATCGCCATTAAGTGATAATTTCGCAGAAGGTATTAAGAATTTTTTAAATTACGTATCTAAAAGTATAAAAATATGTGAAACAAGAATAAAAAATAAGACTAAAAAGGCAGGAATAAAATTTATAAAAATTAACGAATATTTATTATTGCAAGGACACTTATTTAAATGTTGATCGTGAAATAACGTTCTAATTGATGAATAGAATAAGTGATAAAATAACGTTCATCACTGCTAATTTGTTATTAAATAAATATATACCATCACCAAATCGTCTCTGCAATACCTTTTGATTGCTTGGTCGAAAAGGGCCAAAGACCAATAAAGTGGACTTAAGAGTTGACTTATGAAACCCCGTAACAAAGATTTCTTGTTAAAAGGTAAAAAGTAGATGAAGGGTTCAAGTGTGTAAATTTCAAAATCCCAAAGAGTATTAGGATAAATGTGATGGCTCATTGCATGTGATATCCTCCAATCCTTTGACGACATTGTACTTAAATCAAAATAATACATCCGAAAATTATCTCTCATGTGAAAATAGTTGTGCCCACATATTGCAGTCCATGCGAGGAATAGTCCTGGAACAATAAAGATTTCAATCACTCTTTTGTTATAAAAAGTACAGATTATAAATGGGTTGAGTTTATCGAAACATCGAAATCTCGAAACTCTTCGAAACACTAAAAATTTGCAGACTCGAGAATTCAGAAAATCGATAAATAAATAAATAAATCTCTAAGAAATTATTTAATATACCCAACATTATAATCGATTTAAGAAAAATACACTCTGTGATACAGTTGACAAGAAAGAATATACTTCATGAAAATAAAATGGAACTGATTTTTGAACAAGAATTTGGATTATGTATTTTTCTACATCGTTACGCTTTTGTTTATCTTTTGTTTAACTATGATCAATGAAGATTGATGCAGAAATCTTGTTGACATTTCAATGTTTAAAACAAAATACTCTTTTTGTGATCAAAAATATCCAAATTCCAAAAGTTCTGACTTTTAAAATTTTATAAAATTTCGGATTCGAATTTCGTGAATTCGAATAATAGGTTCGAAATTAATTTTGATTATGGGGCAAAATATAATATGCTAAAATAAAATAAAAGGTGAGATGGACCACTCTAAACCGAGAACTATGCAAATAAAACATGAGTATTATTATTTTTCCAATCGTAAGATGAAAAGTGCAATATATATAGGGTGACCCAAAATTTGAGCAAGATTTGAATTTTGCGTCATTTGTGAGGTAAAGTGTTGCCACGATGAAAGAGAACAGCATGATAGCTGACAGTTCAGAGTTCTCAAAAATGGAGTGTAACATGAAAGAATAACGCGTTTTCATTGTTGATTAATATTTACCAGTTTTAATTAAAAATCTGTGTTTTCTACCAAAATTACTTCTTACATAAATTTTGCAACACTCAATATATTTATATTAATATTAATATATATTGTTTTAATACTGTTATATTGTTTCAAACTGCTTGAGTATTGAATATATACATAGCAAGAGAGAAGTCTCAAAGCAGCTCTATAAGATATATAATAATTTATAATATTCCATTTTTAATATCAATATTCCATTAAATACGCTATAGCCACCGCGATTCGTATTTATGATAAACATTAAAAATATTACATGAATAACGTATAATAATAGTCGAAAGTGATATTAATTAAAAAACACGGAGTGACAGCCTTAAGACAATTTTCACGGAACTCACTAGCGCCACCATGATCCGTATTTACAACGAATTAACTGTAAATATCGTACATATCGTTGAATTACTGTCTAATTTTCACTGAAAGGACTAATAAATTCTAAAACGAGTCTCGTCGACCTAAAACTAATTTCTATTATTTACAAATATTTGGTATTTTATATATTTTATATAAGTGAGTTTTTTCGCAATTAAATGTAAACAAACGAATTAACTAAGAAATATACTATACTAGATTAAAGTTATCAACGAAATAATTACTATAATAATATTGATAAAAATTTAATAAATGTACAATATATATTCAATATAGTATCTTCCTTCTGTTGCATTTTTTATTCGCTGTCATAATTCCAGCATCATTTATGGCTGATGAATTAACTAAGATTTTTAAATGACTTCACAGAAAGGAATTCAAGAGATCTAAGTCAGGTAATTATGACAAGCTTGAACTAATATATTCTCAAATTAGTTCCTTCATTTTTCACTCGCGATATCGAATATTCATAAATAAAATAAAAAGAATTTCTATAAATGTACAAACATAGTTTTGCTTTACCCTATTATCACTTTCATCATTAGAATATTATATATACTTTTATTATAATTATTGAAATTATTATAAAACAGAAAAAGTAAAATAAATTGATATTTTACATAGTATTTTACTTTTACCATCTGTAGCAAAAATATTATATCGGTAATTTAAAATCATAACCATTAAAAATGTATATTATTGCTATCATTACTCGTTTTATAATTTTAACGTAATTAATATCACTTATTAATATTATTTATAATTTTATCATAATTAATTAATATCACATTTTACCAACCAGCAAGTGGGACGAGTAGATAAGATTGCGTGTGAGCAACTGCTAGGCTAAGTAGAATCGTAGTGGTAACAAGGAAATCGGCGATCAAATTTGTTTTTACCGACGGCCGATGGAAATTCACATCCTTCAATGCTTCTAGCGCGCGCTTTTTAAACGTAGAATAGAAACCATTCGGTTGAAAGGTTAACGGCACCGTCCGTGGTGAAGTGACCTCTTTTACGCAGTACTTTGGAAGCATTTTCTGAGCTTTATCGGTCAAGTGATGCGCCTGAAAAAGACGATCTATGTTTAGAATAAAATAGAAACATATATTTTTTAATTTGGACGAGCTAGCAAGCAGGGTTGCCAGAAAAAGAAATCACAGAAGAAGAGCGGTTAAATAGTTCTTTTACATTGGAGTAGTAGAAGGGAGACCATTGGAGTGGGGGAACGACTGGTGGGGATGCGTTACGTGTTGCTTAGCAACGCGACTCGGTAATGTGATGCCACGTGCTCTGCGACGAATATGTAGCACTGCACTTCGTTTAACGAAGAGCGTTAACATCTGTTTTTATTCGTCGACTGTGAATATTGACGTTCAATCTGCTTTGTTACTTGGACGTTTTCTTTCGTTTTCTGATTTATTTTGTCGAACGTTGTCTCGCGACGCCGCGTTACAACGCGTATATATTACACGTATATATATATTACACATTTGGATTAGCTTCTTGAAATTGTGCAAATAGTAATTGTAAAATAATTTTATTTTTTGTGGATCCTCCATCGATACTCGAAATAATTGCATATGTTACAATATTAAAAAACAAAAGAAATTAATTGTAAGTACCGATTCCTACACGCAATACGGTATTTATGACAACACTGTTTCGCTTTTTCAAAGAAAATGATATACCATGAGAATTTTGAGCGTGTATGTTTTCACAGATTTGGATACAAAATTTTGAAGTATTATAATTTTGTATTTAGTTTTAGTTCGTATAATATTATCTCTTTGCTCTTGAACGTTTCTAATTGCAGATATGGGAAAATACTGTAGGATACCAAAAGAAATCGCGAATCGGCTATTGCCAACAAAAATAAATTGTAAACAGATCGATATCTTCTAGAAGCAAATCGAAAAGTTATTCTATATAACAAAATTAAGTTGCTTGACTCCTCTACAGGGTGGTGAGGCGTAGGTTAAGGCAAGCATAAAAGCGTGGTCCTTGACAACCAAAACAGAGTCCTTAGAAATCGGTTGTGACCAGCACAAGCGTGAGTCGCTTGGTGTTGGAAAGAGAGTTTTAAAAGAGTGCGTCTTTGTGTGTTTTCGTTATCTTGGTTTTCCTTCCCTAAGTTAAATCAGTTTACGAGTATTGAGTTTGTGTTATCGTGTTCTTGTTCTTTCGTGAATTTTCGGTGTCTCAAGACCAGTTCTGCCATCCTAAAATACCTTATTGAGGCAATAAATAATCCCTATTTCGTGGAATTGTGCTCAAAGCCCAAGATCCTAAAAAATGGACGTTATTACCGTTGTGTATCTACTAATTCCGATCCAATTTTTTTAAATACACCAATGCATCGATAATAGTAGTTCTTTAGTCATCCTTTAGTTTAGACTTCAATCATTCTTTACTTTGCATGGTATTCTAACCTGTCCCCCTTACGTCATTCCTAGACTCTATAATACTATATGAAAACAGCAATTCGAAATTTTTTGGATAGAAATTCAATAATTCTCTCTGTAATTAACATAAATAAAAATCATATATAGATTAATGGAAAGAACGAAATTTGTTTCGATATTGAAATAAATTAATATGACACATTTTCATAATGTATTATTGCATTATGAGAAACTTAATAGCAAATATAAAAATTTATAATTTTACTTTGTGAAATAATTTTTAAAATATTATACAGGAAGTCTCAGGTTTCAGTGTTTAAACTTTGTTAGTATTCTGTGAAACTAAATAGGAAAAGAATATAAACATAGGTTGCAGAAAATTTTATTAAAAAATTACAGCGAAACTGTGAAATACAAAGGGAGTAGTAACATAGAATAGATCAAATAGAATAAATCAGTAATATCTACATTTTGTCTATTTATGTAAACATAATCAAATTTATTTCTGTTATAATTTTCAATCAAAATTTAAATAACCTTTGTTTATATAACATTTATTCCTTGTTTAGTCCCATGAAATATACTGATAGCATTTGAATTTTACATATATATTATATATATTATCATATAATATTATATAATATTAATGTGCGACAATTTTGGTTAATTATTGATTATTCGAATTAATATATTCCTCCTGACTGTACATTATTAATTCTTGGAACCTAATTCTAATTTTTATACTAATTTCTTATTTCATGTAACATAACAAATTTTCCAAACCTAGCTACTATATTTTACAAAGGAGCAATACTAAATAAATAATTTCTATCATCAATCATTATTTATATTATGACTAATAGTAAAGTAATTGTAATTTACTTACAATTTAAATTATCAGAAATTAAGGAATGTAATATTTCGATCAAAAAAGAACAAGAAAATATTTATTAACATCCATTATCAAAATTAGCTACCATATTTTACAAAGGACCTATACTAAATAAATCATTTCTATCATCAATCATTATTTGTATTATGGTTAAGAGTAAAGTAATTGTAATCTACTTACAATTTAAATTATCAGAAATTAAGGAATGTAATATTTCGATGAAAGAAGAACGAGAAAATATTTATTAACATCCATTATCAAAATTAACGTTTTTATTCATTGTGTCGATAACTGAATGCTGTTTATTTACCTGGAAAATTTCCGTAATGTCAGTACCTCGAGTAAGGCGAATCCATTCTTCTCCACCTGGATGAACTTTCGCAAAACCTTCTAGATCATATAAATTATTGTCGATCCTCCAGAGGTTCTCTGCACCGTCTATTTTTCTTCTTGATTCGAGAAATGAGTACGGCGTTGTAAATTTAATTTCTCTCCCAGGAAAGTGCTCGAGACCTGGTATAGTACTTTCTAACTTCGGCATAGTGTCTTCTACGTTTCCTACACAGTAAAATTGTATTTGAGTAAACAATGTGAATTATGAGATAATTAAGTAATAATTACAAGTAAATAATTTAATAATCGCAAAGTATTACTATAACAATCTAATACTGTATAGTGCTTAAAGAATTGAAGATTTTAATCCTTCGAGACAACAACATTCTTAAAAATCTGTTCAATTTTATTGCCTACGTGTGTTTAAAAATGTTTCAGTTTGTTCGTCGCTCATATTTTCTTTAAATAATTTTATTTTAATATTATATGTTTTCTAAACTATCATTTTTCGTAACCTTTTTGTACAAAATGGTGGAACAGTTAGTATTAATAATTATTTGTAATGACGTTAAAATCAATTGTGAATTTTCTTAATGAAATATAATAATTATATTTTATTCCATGAAATATTTTATTAAAAGATATAATAATTAAAATTTAATAATTTCTCAATAAAGTATAATTTCTGGCAAATTGATCAAATAAGAAATAGGAAATTCGGAGATATATCAAGATCACATTTTAAATTGAACATTAAACGAGATTAAATGATAATTGATAATTTCTGAAACTTTTGACAGATTAAAGAAAGAAATCATTTTAGGAGAATTTTAAATCAAAAGATATAATATAATCTTTATTTTCTTATGTATGTATGTAGTTTTGGTTAATTCTAATCTACGGAATTTTAAAGTAAGGTCGTGACACTGTCAACACACTATACGATATCAAATTGTTTAGCTAATTATCAAATAATTTTAACTATGTTAAAACATTAACATTTGGTGACTGTTAGAACCTTTCAAAGACAGTAATAAGTTAATATATAAATACAAGTTTCAACTTTCTGAATTCTCCCGTCGATTTATAGAAACGTATAGATTTGTTAGAAAATTCAGAATGTAAAAGATATATGTTAGAAATATGTAGCATAATTATTATAGTAGTAAGCAATTCGATTGAGGACAAATATATAATATTCTTCGAAAAATATATAAATTTTTTATTTATAAATAACTTCGATAAATAAAATGCACATGGTACGTAATTATATAATATCGTAATTTCCACGTGGATAATATTTTTATTATTATTTTACAATATAGACATTTTTATTGCATACGCAATACAAATCAGAAGAAAATTAATTTACTAGAAAAATAAATAGATACAAAAGAAACACAGACATAAATAGTCAAAGTATAATTATTAAAAAAAGTTGACCTTTTGTCAGTTATAAACAATTTTTGCTTAGAATAAATTGTTGTTTATGTAACAAATAGGAACATGTTTTTGGAAAAGTTTACAACTCTTCATCTATATCTTATTAAACACATGTACATTTAATATTACAATTTTTGATGTATTAATTAAAATGAAAAGAGTAATTTTATTGCGAATATTCCTTAAGAAAAAGAAATTTAAATAAATTCTAAAGTATGAATTTACAAAAATTAATTAAATTAATTTTATAAAAATTTATTTATTTAATTTTAATTAAATTTTAATTAACTAAATTTTAATAAAATTAATTACATTAATTTTATAAAAATTAATTTTTGTAAATTCATACCGTAAAATTGTTAGATTCCTTTTTCCAAAAAATATTCGCGATAAAATTACTGTTTCTATTTTAATTAATACATCAAAAACCGTAATTTTTGTAAACTTAATTTTTAAAAATTCATACCAATGATGGATCGAAGAAAAATATATTTTTAATAAAATAATTTTCTTATGATAATTTTTATTGCCTCTATTGAAAAATAATTATATTGCAGTTATAATTAATTCATTGCATATTTAAAATTGTGCTAATTTAAACATCGTAGTATATTTAACGATTTCCTGTTCAATGAAAACATGCGTCACGTGAAAAATATGGAAACACTGATAAGCGATGAAAATAGTTTCCAGGAAACTGTGCAGAACTAAAATTACAAATATTCTTTCAAAGAAGTATATCATTTAATCAAACACAAGAATAAGATAATGTAATTTTTCTTGAATCACGTATGTTTCTTTTAATTGAATCAATCATTGTTGATTATATATGTGTATACATAATTCATTAATGCTTTGCGAAATACATACGTGTTATATTAATATACCAGTTATAGATCAATTAAACATAAATTATATATTACTAGCATAATAATTATATAAAATACATAATTATAGTTACATATTTTACAGTGATATTAAGTAATTATATATGAATAGTATATTTAATTAACGTTAATATATCAAATAATTTACACAACTTTAATAAATTTTACATAAAACCTAAGTAAAGAAGTTTGAGAAAACATGTCAAATACGGTAAATATCAGTATGTTAATTAACATGTTGAAATATTATTTTAAAATACGATAACAAGTAAAAATTTGCACACTATGTTTCCTCTACATGAAAATATGTAAAAATAAGAAATTTCATTGAACACTATTTTCTATCATTTATTTATAATGCTATCAAAATAAATATGTTATGAAAAGTTTTAAAACATTAAAATAATAATATCATTTTCGTATAATTAGAATATTTATATTTACAAATATAATAATACAGATATTATTTACAATATCATAATCATGTAAATATAATTTAATGGCAGTGTATTCGATTATCGTCATTCTAATGAATGAAAATATTAAGTACATAATTTGTATATCACGTAATATCGAACATCAGTAATCTACAATAATTTTCGTATCACCATTCATATCGACTATGAAACCATGTGAAATAAGATAAACCATATCAACTGAAATTGTTTACTTTTCGAATATAAACACAAATCGATTGTCCACTTTTAAATTTGATTAAAGAAAGTGTTTATCTTGGAATTGTACCAATAATTTTGTAATTACGAAATTGCAGAGTTGATAAAACGGATAATACGATAATGATCGATCACCATTTGAATAATATTTTAATCATTTTTCTAACAAATTGGAGCAATTATGAATCGCTAATAATTAAAAAAATTAATTGCAATACTAATTCTCAATTATAAAATAGCAATCTTTAATTAAACTATAGCTTTCTTCTATTCCAAACACGTAATGTATTGTATGTATCATTTGACAACATATTATTAAAAACTATTAATCAATTTTATAAATTATTAATAAATTAAGGTTGCTTCAATTATTAATAAATTTATAAATTTGAATAAATTAAAGTAATTAGTTGTTTATCTATCAAATTACAATCTTGATTGATTTTCTATTATTCTGACATTTCGAATTGTTTTCTTTTATATTAAAATTAATATTAATTATAAAGTTTATTAAAATTAAAATTAATTAATATTAAAATTAGTATTAAAATGATAGTGAAACAATATTATAACAATAAATTAAATTAAATTTTTAAATTCACTCACTTCTTTGTTGTTATCTTTCCTAAATGTACCACAAATTATAGAATTAGAATAATTTTTATTTCACAATTTACATATAAATAACTAGTACCTTGGTATTTGTTACTATAATTTATTTTCGTAATGTCACGAATAATTATCAATACTCCCAAACAACTGAAATTCAATATTACTTTTTCTCACCAAATGTATTTTCATAAATTTATAAAACCATATCGACGATAAATAAACAACAAATGGAAAAATAAAGAAACTTAAAATTTGGATCACAAACTAAAAATCATATTCTTAAAAAATAAATTGTTAAAAATAAATAAAGTATCCTCAATTTTTAATTTGTATTTTATAATTCTGATTAATAATTTGCATTTCTTAATTTCCGTAATTTGCATATTCGAATACAAATTATACTCTTTATTATAAATATCACTGTTATTAATATTTCTTGTCACAAATTGCCATTAAAAAAATTCACATCTCGTTACATCAAATATGACATTTTATAATAAATTTGTCATACCGAATGTACAGATTCTTCGAGTGTAGAGACTCGTAAGCGATTTTTCGTTTTTATTTCCTTGTATTGCAACGTTCAGAACGATATTTCGTTGGTAACAATTTATTAATAAACAAAAATGTATTGTTTATTACCATCAATCACTACACGAAGAATATTTTATTTCGTAACACTAATTTAAACCGAGTCTTACCACGTCGTTCAACGAACTGCTTTTGATGAAACACTTTGAAAAGCAATTCTTCTTTCTTATATACGTGAAACAAACACCTACTGGTCATAATCTGAACGAACTATTATGTACTTTGACCTCGAAACGATAACCAATCCTGCAGATGATAACTTAGTTGCTCGTTATTACAGAACTTGCGAAGCTGGATAAAAACAAATAAATACACAAATATTTCTTCTTATTATTTCATCAAAAAATTTTTCCAGTGTTACATCAGCGTCGCATTATTATAATACAATTTCAAATTCCTTAACTTTCCCTATATATTTTCTCAACATCAAACATTGTTAATTTTGCTCTTAGCTCTTAGTACTTAACTTACTTAACTCTAAACTAGTTAATACTTTGCTTAATTTTAAACTACTTATGCATTTGTGTGTAATTAGGTGCGAACTGTAATTTTTCGACAGAAATCATCGATGAATTAATTTTTAAGACAAAACTTCGACGAATTAATTTTTAAGATAAATTTTAAGATAAAATAACGAAGGTACGAGTTCAAATAATTTTGAGTAATTAAAACTCGAAAGGATAAATTCAATTACTTCATTCTACAAAAACGCTTTTTTCCAAAATTATTTTAGGCTAGTACCTATATAATAGAACTATAAATATCGATATTTATATCACTATGATAAAACAGAATTACTATGCATAAAAATCCATGTACTAGCAAACTTATTTGAATAAATTTTGCATATTTTTCATTAAGTATTGTGAAAATAAATATACCCCAAAAATTAACTGTTTCCCATGAAAGTATTAAACAAACTTTATCTCAAAATTATTGTGATTTTATGTAAAAAGATCGTTGAAATGGGGATCACTTTTAACCAATCGGAATGTTGCAATAATCGAGCAATGAATTGTACGTCTTTGCTTATCAGTGTTAGTGAATAAACGAAGTGAACGATAAAATAACATTATTTGCACTCGACCGGTTACAAAATCAGCTTATCCTGAGATACTGTTATTTTTGGTCGGACCAAATGAGATTATGGTACTTTCTTTCCGTTTCAAATTTTCTTCCCGCAATATTTAAAGCGATTAATTTATGGATAAGATTAATTGCTCTTATCGTTTTGGTAGAATTATCATTATGTATACTGATTCTTGTTTTATTGATTGATACGTAGAAAATTATCTTCATCTCGGTTTGTACATCATCTATCGCGACAACTTGTACGTTTCTTTCAGTCTCTATTTTCGTATCTATTAATTTCATTGAACTAGATAATATAAATTTATCCAACAGAATTATTTAATAATTCAATATGTTACAAAAAAGTTAATTGATTCAATGCCCAAACGATTAAACGAAGTTCTTAAAAGGAAAGGAAGGCCAACTAAATATTAATATTTAATTTCAAGTCATTTTTAAACGTTTTTATTATAGAGTGTCGATTCTTTTGTCCACCCATAAAATTTTCGATAAATACATTTTTGTTATTGTTTCGTGAATCAATGTATTTATTTTATTACTTTTACTATGTAATAAAACTAGAATAGATAATAAATGAATATGTCAAAAAGTTTTTCCTTCAAATCAATTTGTTTAGTAGTCATAAGCACTTGACCCACAAAAACCATGCTGTGCCAATACTTTTGTCCAGCACTGTATATGTAGGATCGGATTTTGGGTGGATTGACTTAAGATAGTGTAGTATCGCAGGATTTCCATTTCGTGTATAGGTAACTTTAGCTTAGAAAGTCATCGAGGGTTCAAGGGCCAGGTCGGTCGGAAAAACCCCGGCCATGTGTCAGGCCCTTAGCATCACCATATTTGGTCATGTTGGGGTAGGCTTTTGGAGAAGATATAAAAGAAGGCAAAAGTGGTTAGTGAATAGTTCTTGGGGGTCTTAAGAGTGATCAGAACAGAGTTGTGTAGAGAGGGGTTATTAGTTGTTAGTTGTTTAGTTGTATTTTAGTTGTGAGCCATTAGTTGTAACTGGCTGAGTTGTCATCGTGTTGTAGAGTTGAGTTGTAGTATTAAGTTGTAGTTGATATATAAATTCGTATGCTTAATCGTCACCACACATTGTTAATCATTTTTTCTTATTATTAATTAACATATAGTAGTTTTATTTACCAACCACCATCCAAGTCTCTACAATAGTATTGTTGGTTTCTTAATAGAATAAAATAAGCTTATAAATAGAATGACAGCTATGACACAAGAGAGATTCACTATGGACACGCTCTTCTGATCTTTCTTAGACTGAGTTGGACTTCCTTACATACTCTCTGACTGACACACTGGCACACTCTTAAGACTGCAAAAGACTGGCTTACAAAACTCAACCCTTAAAGCGCTATGGACGCATATATGCGTCCGGCGAAAGTCACCAGCAGGGACGATGGACGCATATATGCGTTGTTCAATTTTTTCGGTCTTCCATGTAATAGTATTACATGTAACTTTATGCGAGACAAATATACGCGTGTTTCTTAGCAACGGCAGTAAAAAAGACAAATGATGGAACAAATAATAGACGCGAGGACGGGTTTATTCTTTTGTATATCTGTTCCGAGTGTCATTAGTAACGTATTAACAATATAGTATACGTACAACAATATTAACAATATAAAAAAATTTATCATACACAAATAAACTATTAATTTTTGTTTAGTTTTTATTCCTTATTTTTATGTTAAGTTATATTGTAAATTTTATTGATTCTAATAGATAATTGATGCTTGAAAATAACGTTCTTTTATTATTTAACCTGCTGCAAAGGAATTACAATAATAACTTGTTAGTTGCGCCTTGAACAGTTAATCAACAGAGCTCGCACGAGCGAAAAGTATTCCGTCCACAGCGATCGTAAGCCCTAAGCACGCACAGTCCCTCTGAAGCGCTTCGGCAGAGAGTCGTCTGCACTCTGAGGGTTAAGACTGACTCGCCCACGTCCTTGCACCCTTATTTAACCCTTTGCACTTGACGATTTTTTGGCCAAAGAAGAATAGGAGTTCAAAGATTTTCTGTTACAAAGCTGACGATATTTTTCTGAACAGGAATAAGAAATCGTATGATAATTAACACGTAGAATTATTTGATTTCGATACCTCGCATATCGTTACATTATCTGAATTTTTACATATCTATGAATATCGAGCTTCGAAATTTTATCAAATGGTGACTGAAGGGCACCTCTCGAGTGCAAAGGGTTAAACCATTCTCTTCTTTTCCATACCCAGGCTTTCCTTTCCAATCATGCTCCTTTTCCACGCAACCTCAGTGGGCCAGGTACTTCAAGCACTCTGGACGCATCCCTAAACTTTCACTCGACTTTACCATAAATATTCTTTGCAGTTAATCCTGTTGCACACGATCACTTTCGTTCTAAGCCCAAACACTCTTGACATTCTTTCAGGGCCGTACTCATTCCAATCCTACATATAAATTATACCAGGATTTATATACCATTGATGAAATTGGCAAGGTCATTTAGTGCAGCAGATTTATTTTAAATAATATCAGAAATTTATATATTGTATATTAAAATCTGAATTTAAATAAATCGATTAAATCGAACGTAGAACACGGATAATAATAACAATCATAATAATAGACACGCACACATATATACAAAGTGTCTGGTACCAGGTGATTCTACATCTAAAAATAAGTAGAAAGGAAAGAATGAAGTTTTTTAATATGAGGACTCGTTCTCGAGAAAATTGAATTTGAAAATTCGTGGGGTACGTGTAAATTTAATTACGCTTTAACCTAATCGATTTTAGCGTAGACTATCCTTTGTGTCGTTATATCGTTATATCTATATTCGATATAAATTTAAAAGTATCAAGAATGCTTATGAACATGAATAGATATAGTCTGTGGTGAAATTCGTAGTGCCAAAATTTGAATAAAAGATGCGCACGCCTCGCGAATATTCGACCACCATTTTCTCGAAAACGAAGCCTCGAACGAAAAAATTGTATTCTTTCTTTTCGACTTATTTTTAGCTGTTACATCAATTTCTACTCGATTTTACCACCAGTTACCGGATATTTTGTATATTAATATCATTTTTCGATGTCTCTGCCTATTCTGTGATCAACTGAAATTTCATTTTGAAAATTATCCAATAGGTGCATTATGATAGATATTAATATAAATCAACACCTTTCTGTTTTTTATTCCTCTTCTCCCCTTACATGTGAAACTTATGAAGTAGGCATATCTCAATGTTTCTAGTTAACTCTCTATGGGCCCCTGTAACTTTCAAGTTACATGCTAATGTATGGATATTTTATTAAATACCGCATTCAACGTTATCGTCTTGATCACTCCAGTCCGCGATTTTTCTTTCAATATATTTATAATTATTTTTACAATACCTCCCGTGGGTCCATTTTTAAAAATTCTAATTCTTTTTCATTTACCGGTTATTCGATCATGATAGGTTAGGTCCTCTATGGCCCCCTATGACCTTTCTTCCACAACATAGCGTGGAAAATTATTTTGTCTATCTAGTGCACATTATCTTGGCACAATAGTACAAACGTTGTTAATTCAAACTTTCAATATGAATTCGTTATAATAAAATTGTCAAAACTGCTGAATTTATTGGTTGATATTTGTTGATTTTATATTACGTACAATTCTTGTAGTCAAGAAAAATATATATTCGGTCCAAAGAGGGTTAATTAAATTTATATGTGCGTTATGTATTTCGTAAAATTTATTCTAATTGAGCAATATTTACATACAGGGTATCTCACGGAAAGTGCCGTTTGATATAGTTGCTAATATAAGCGGTGGGTGATAGGATAAATATATACAGAGACTTGTATCGTCACTTTGTATGTAGAATGTCACTGTGATAAAATGAAATTTGTATCTATATTGTTTCAAGATTATTCCAAGGTCAATTGGAGCTTTTACATTTTTTAAATTATTCTTTTTATAAAACAGAAAAAAAGAAATTAGTTATTTTAATTGGTTTGATAATTTTAACCAGGGTTAATATCTCCTTTTCCCCTAGAACCACTTCGAAAGATTGAAAGATACGGGGAATCGAAAGATAAGAATATGAAAATATAGAAATAAGAAATTTTGGAAAAATTGGAAAAACGTTAGAAAAATTTTCCCAGTTTGCAAAATTCAGAAATTTTTTTAAATTCTTTAATCCGTTTTTTATTGATAAAAGACGAATTAATTTTTTGATAAGTTAATTTACTGCACATTTTTTTCATCAAAGATTTTTAATTTCGAGACTGTAATCATATGTCTGACCTATTGATGTATGACCTTCAATATTTTTACTATTATCAAAGAAATGTTATGATTAGAGAGCGAATGTTTATGCTATCATATTATGTCGAAATATGCAAAATATGTGTCAAATCTGTGCATAACGTTCACAAGGAAATTTATTTATTGTAACTTAAATTACTGTAGTTATAGAGAATTAATAGCAATTATAGTTAATTTTTCCTAAACCTACCTTTCTACTTAAATTACCTAATGTAAAATATTATATTAAAATTTAGTGATATTTACATTTTCAAAATATCATTAATTGTAGGCAATTTTTATTAATTTCTTTGTAACATAGTTTCATAAATTTTAAATTGTATTAAAATTTAATATGATCCTTCGATATATATATTTTTAAAATGTAACTAATTGTGGGCAATTTTTATTTATTTCTTTGTAACATAAATTTATAAACTTTAAATTGTATTAAAATTTAGTATGATTCTTAGATATTTACATTTTCAAAATATCACTAATTGTAGGCAATTTTTATTAATTTCTTTGTAACATAGATTTATAAATTTTAAATTGCATTAAAATATAGTATGATGCTTAGATACATATATTTTCAAAATGTCACTAATTGTGGGCAATTTTTATTAATTTCTTTGTAACATAGATTAAAATTTATGCTCGATTTATAACAGAAAGTAATAACACAAGATGTCAAAATTAACGTTACTTATCTCATTTACCATTATCATTCAGATTAACAAATTTTTGTAGATTTTACTTTCAACGTATATATATTTTCACTCGTTTCATTTTTCTTTTTGATTTTACTTATTGTTCCTTTCTTTTGTGTCAGTCATTTTTAAAATAAAGTTCAAGGCTGTTATTTGTCGAGGAACTAAATTTAAATTGAAATTTAACATCGATCGTTAATTTCATTGTTTCCGTAGCATAAATGAATAAGGTCATAATATTTAAATAACGAGTAAATGATGCATAAGGAATATGAAAATTATTTTAAACGACGTACTTTGTTTCTAGTAAATTCTTCGCGAATTAGAAACTGCTATAGTACTTGTTTTGAAATTTGTTATTTAGTAATATCATTATTTATTATATTATCATATTTCAGGTATGTTTTCTAAGAAACTGAATTATATTTAAATGCTTAATTTTCTAAAAAAATTTTTATACAATTAATTTGATTTTACTTCATTGATTTTAAATTGATTTTAGTTAAAGTTAATTTTCCATGTAAGTTATATACATCCAAATTTAAATTGAATTTCAATAACGTTCGTTTCTTACATCTGTATAACATAAAGTAAATATATAAATTAATTGATATATTAAAAACAAAAATGGAGAGATATGATAAAATAATACAAATCCATTTTTCTTAATTTATTTTTATAAAATAACACATTATAGTATATTATCTTATAGCATGTTAAATATAATACATTTAATATGTCATATTAAAAAATAAGATTATCTAATTTATTAGAATTATAATAACAAAATACATGATTCATTCATAAAAAATTAATTTTCTCTCATTGACATTTTCAAAATATCAAAAGTATCAAGAAAATTTTACCACTTTTCCTCGTGTAAAGTTATTTACATTATTGCTTTAATTATTGTTCACCATAATTAAATTTCTTTTGATATTAGTAATAACTTCTGTAATAAAATAGTAGTACTTGATGCCCAGTTGATAGTAATAATAAATATTTAAATGCCATATTATTTTGTCTTTCGTTCTTTATGCAAAATGCATTCAAAATAATCTTCACTCAAAGCAATATCAAAGAGTTATCAAAATGCTTTCATAATTTTATAAAAGTCACTGGTAGATATCATTGGACTTGCACGAGACGAGAATTTGTTATGCATCAAATGTAGCGTAAACACGTTTAGATAAACGAGTAAATACAACCACGTGTTTTTATTGTTTATTTACGAAAACATGAATAACAAATAAGATATATGACTAAAAGCGAAAGAAATTTAAAGAAATTAAAAAAAAATATAAGTTATCGTTATCCAAAATATAAATTACCTTTTGCAAATTTATTTTGGCATCGTTTGACATTTTTGACATTTTTCTAAAGAAATTTAATTATAATTTTTCCTACGCTATTATTTGTTATGCGTACATATTTAAATGTACAGGGTGTTTCTAAATTGCGATGTTTCTAAGTTGCGACTACCATAATTCTGTGAGTCGATGAAGACTCGCTAAAGAAAATTTCAGCAAAATTATTCTTGTTTAATAAAATTATACAAATTTATCTATGTTTATAATTAATAGTTGACAATTATATCTAATATCTCTATAATATATTTTGCAACCAATAACATCGATGATAAAAATGTATATAATTTGTGAATTTATAAATTATTAATCTTCAGTACCATTTTATATAAAAGTAATTTTTGTTTTCTTATACACACCTCATTCTCATGGATATTTATCATAAAGGTAAGTAAATGAAAACACCAAATTTACAGAATCTGTAGTACAATAAGTACAATAAGTCTATTAACAAGAAAAGCAGTAAACAGTAATTAAATCAATAATTAGAAAAATATACGAAAAAGAGCACTGAATAAAAGCAATAATAAACATTGTAAATAAAAGCATATTTTAATTTGTTAAAGTCGTATGAAAAATAATTTCATCGACATAGCATAGCATTTTTAACTTATATTATTTCTTGCTTGTTTTTATCCTGTGGATAAGAATTTTTGTTCAGTTTAACAAAATTTGATGATATTATACCATATGTCACGCAATCTAGTAACAATACCAAAATTATTAGACTGTCCTTTTATTTATAAATTAATTTCTCTTTATTATAGCATCTTTGAGAAGGTTCGATATTTATATTACACTGTATATGAAATATAAACCTGATTTGTGAATAATGAAAAAGTCAATTATAAATTTCAGTATATAAGATGTAAAAAGTTATTGTAGGTATAATTTAATTTACAGGAACAACATTTTATTTGTCATAAGTGTAACAGCAAAGTCATTTACATCTATATTTATATTTCTAATAATTCTTGCTTTTACATTAGATATAATAGTTGTATAATATTTGTATTTCTATTAATTTTTCTCTGATTTACACTTTTTATTCAAATTCAAACATATATACATATTATATCTATATAATTGGCAAATTAACATCGAATTAGCTCTTAACATTTAACTATTTAAATTTTAGCTACCATTGCACGTTTCTTAGTAATAAAATTCATTTTCTTATTTTTATGGACATGAGCACTGGTGACCCGTTGAGTCTTAAGTTTTACAAATTATTACCTAATTTTATCAAATATATATAATAGATGATACAATGATGATATAACAGAATATCTCTTTATAAATTTGCTTTCAGCACCATTCAACATTTTAACATTTTATTATATAAAACAATGCTATTCGAATTTATACGTACAAACTTTAAATTACAATTGCAAGATACAAAAGTGCTTCATTCGTGTACGACTTTGCTATAAATCACTTTGATAATTTTCCTGCTCTCCCAATTATTTGCGAGATGTATAATGATATAACTAATAATACTATGTGATCAGTCCTATACTTGTCGAATTTGTCTTTTTTAAGTACCTATTAAATCATCACTATTACGATACATACTACGAAACAAGATTCGATCGTTATTTGCTTTTCGAAATACTCGTATGAAGTTAGAATGTAATTTGTGAAATATACATTTTATAAATAATTTTAAGTAATGGTAACATCTGCCCAAGCATCTCATTGCGTTTCATTTTGTTTGGTAACATTCTTAAATTAACTATGAAAACAGCGTATATCCAAAATAATTAAATCGAGAAAATATTCCGTTACATATACAACGAATTTGGATAATACAAACAAATTGGAGGATACAAACAAAGTTAGATAATACAGAAAATATAATTTTGAAATAAAGCGTTATACGTAAAATAGTTTCTTTGTCCAGATTTTACATAAAATGGTTTTTACTATTTAACATCGTAATATATTAAACAGGAGAAATTCGATTGTGTACAACGCTTGCAGAAATCCATTATATCATAATTTGGAGAAAACCGTGAGTAACGTTCTCTTGCTTATTATCTAATCTGTTACCCAAGTATCATGTTTCGATCTCTTCCTATTCACGCGAAGGCATCGATGCTCTTCGAGATTTAGTCTCGATATGTAGAAAGATGCTCGATAAATTATTACAAAATTGTTAAAAATACGAGACTCTTCAGATAAACGTTCTCACGAGGAGTGATACGACAGTTGTTAAGATGAAAATCAGCTGAGAATTGTTGACGTAACCGGAATTCACAGACACTTGTGGAGGAATGATCTTCACTTCTGTAGAAATATTGGACGGACTGGTTGCGGTTGAGGTTAGGTCCATCGAACAGACGGTTCCCTTTATAACCTCTTTAACGGAACCGGTAAGAATTCTGAAATTATAATCTTCGACGTCCAAATGAGAATACATGAAAGTGGGCAAACGATCCGAGAGTACCCAAATATTGCCATTTTGATCGATCTGAAATTAGAGTAGAAAATTAAAACAGCGTTGAAAATAAATTAATCCGAGCTAAGATAAAAAAGCTTATAAACCGAATAATAAAATTTTCGAACAAATGCTCAATGTTGGAAAAATTGAAGAAGATTTAATTAATTTATAACTTCCATTTTTAGAAGAAAATCGTTATCGATGTTATATATGTATATATTTCCACTTTTTTAAGTTGATGTAAAATAAAAATTAACAGATGTATACAAAATTATTTTTACTTTGTACTGAAATGTATTAATGTTATTTTCAATTGAAATGTCAATCAATGCTTATTAAATTTACTCTTAACTTAGATATTATTTCAAAATTATTAGTTATTAATATGTATTAAAATACTTTTTTAAAGTAAAATACCAAAAAAGGCCTGCTTTCACTTTTAGTTGTGTTAATGAAAAAACAATGAAGTGTTTCAAGTTTAGTATAAAATTAATTTACAAAATTGTATATTATACAGGTTAAGGCAAACAAAGTAATGTTACTTAAAATAATGTTGATCTATATACAATCTTACTATAATTTCACTTATTAAATCTCTTCTACATTTATGTTATATAAAACTAAAATATAACAAACGTTAAAATGACATCGACGTTTCTGAAACATATTTTGCAACAAACATATGAAATAACAATAATAATACAATTTTGAACAATAAAATATGATGTTATAATTTTGCACAATACATACAGTCGGCTGTAAAAGTATTCGTCCATCCATCACAGGCGGCGTATGTATAGGGAAAAGAAAGGAAAGTACTTACACGTAAAAGTAAGATAAATAATATAGAAATTAATCTTTATTAATACGAAAGAAGTTAGAAGAATGGCAAAAAGAAATATCGTCAGATTTTACAAACAAATTAGTAAAATCAATGCCCAAGCATCTAGAAACTATAATTAAGTCTAAGGGGTGGGTATCCCACTAAATATTGAACTGATAACTTCAATTTTATATAATAATAACTCAATTAATTTGTAAATCAACGAATAATTTTTTGAGGCGTATTCTCTTTCTCCCTTTCTCTCTTTCTCTCTTTCTTCGCGTTGAAAAACACAGAATTGTATTTATGGACGAAGGGAGGGGAAAAAGGGATAAAGCATGATGGCGTTTACTTCATCTGGGGTCTGTTAGCGGACTCGTCAGTAAGGACATACATCTAGCAGAGCCGTGCCTTAGACACAGAATATTATAGGGAAATTAGGAACTTCCATTTATACTACGCGGAGGGTTCATCGAATCACTTGGAACCTCAATCGTCACAGAATCCCCCTGGCGGAGAGTGCGTGAACTATGGAGCCGCCATATTTTTGCGTTCTAATTTTCCGATGTATTATGTTATTTTCTTTAATTTTTCACTATATAGAGCAATTACGATTTTCACAAAATGTCAGCTTATCTTGTGTAAATAAAGGTTAATTTCTATATCTTTTATTTAAATTTTACGTACATCTTTTCCTTCTTTTCCCTATACGTGCGTCGAATACAGTACATGGGTGAAACTTATGCGGCTGTTTGTTTATGTATTATAGTATTAAAAAGAAGAGAAACATAATAAACACGAACTTCTAAACCTTTTCCTGCTAGAAGCTTCATTAAATTTGATCGAAACGAAATATGTGACAAAATTTTCTTTATTTAAAAATTAACGAAAATGTTTACCTTTAAATCATTAGGAAAGACCATTGTAATGTTATTTGTGTAAATAAGAGCTTGTTGCTGGACTGAGAACATGCTTTGAGGTTTCCAGCAAGCAATAGCGTTCAAATTAGTTAACGCATAGAAGAGAACACCAGTTTCGGGATCCAAAAAGCTGACACTACTTTGACCATTATGTGCACGAGATCCAAGAGCATGAAATTCCTGAATATTATCTGAAACCGATAAAAAACAAATTTTAACAAACACAAAAACATAATACACTTGAAAATTATGATTAATCGTGATTAATTATCCGATAAATAAATAAATAAAATAGAATATATAATTTTTAATAATTAATTAAAATCGTAAAATTACTTTTGGTATAAAAGACTCGACGAAGAGAAAAATATATTACAAAATTAGACAAATATTCTACAAAAATATAATATTTAAGATTTAACAAACACAAAAACATAATATACTTGAAAATTATGATTAATCGTGGTTAATTATCCGATAAATAAATAAATAAAATAGAATAAATAATTTTTAATAATTAATTAACATCGTAAAATTGTTTTTGATATAAAAGACTCGACGAAGACAAAAATATATTACAAAATTAGACAAATATTCTGCAAAAATATTATAATATACAGTATTATCATGCTACAATCAGAGATACAAAAAAGTCAGTATTTAATCTTCCGAACACGTCTATACATATATCTTACAAGTGTATGAATATCTTATGAATATTTAACATCCATTTATTCGAAAACGGTAATGTCCTGAGAAAAAATGTCTCTACATTTTCGACTTATTTTTTCCCATAAACTCTTTTCCGACTTGTATCATTAGTTCGGAACACTCTGTATGAGTACACTCGTATAAAACATGAAAATAAATAAAATAAAATAAAAAATTGTATATTTTATTCATATATGGATGAATAAGAAGTAAAACTGTTATCCGAAATAATTTGTGGGGTTCCTGCCCCCTCGGTTGCTTTAATTGGTTGATCGGCAGGTATCCTCGATGATGCTAAAAGGGGTGAAAGGAGAAAAGGAAGGGATGCATTTCATTTTGGGCCTGCTAGTTGACTCATCAGCAAAGCTACCTAGCAGATCCTGCCTTAGACAAGGATACTATTGGAAAGTTTGAAAATTTTATATATAGGAAACAAGTATTGCTTCTATTTGAGCATCTTTTCGCAATGTGCGGCTCGTGTCTTTCCTCGCCTTTGTGGCTATACTGACAGGTGTAACTTGCGAATTTTATCAACATCGTACCAATGAAACTGACATGGTCCAACCAACAGGGAAGTCAACCCGCGCTTGACCCTGTTTTGGTTGGAGTACGCACGGGGAGGTACCCGATATTGGCGTATTATTCTTGAGCCACTTCAAGTCTGGCATGGACATGAGATCCAACCGAATAGTCTCCATGATCCATCTATATATAGGAAATAGAGGGTTTACCGAGGACTTGCGAGAAAATCCTCGATCCTCCTTGAACTCGGAATCTATCTAATAGCGAGGGTGAGAATGATGCCGCCACAAATTTGACAATTTAACCCTTTGCACTCTGTTGTCGCCACTATGACGACCTTGTAAGATAGCCTGTAACTCCGTTGTCGTTACTACGACACTAGAATTCTGCTGGATTTATATCAAATATTGTTAGATAAAATTTCCGAAACACAGGGTTATCGTATGTTTACTGATAGATAATATACTAATATACCTTTGGCAGGAGAGCTGATGAAAATGAAGTGATACTTGACTTGTAAACATTGTACTATAAAAGCTATATATAGGAAAGGTAAAATGACAATGAATGAGGAGTTACTGGCAGGTCATATTAAAAATTGCTGGGAGTGGAAAGTGTAACGTCCTACGGTATCGAATCTCTTCGATTTCCAAGAACGCTTATCACGCGCCAAATTAATATTGCGTGACTAGTTGTGATAATAAGGATCCAGAATGTGTGTGGTCAAAAGAGAGTGTTTATTTATAGAAAAGCGTAGAATAGTTATAATGCAGACGTTAACGGAGTACCGTTTCGAACACGCGTTTGTATGTGTAATTTAGATGTTTGAAGGATTGGTGCCGAAGACGAACTGATTTCTCGATTTTGCTCTATGTCCTGTCTCGTAGTGTTCGGTCCGGTGTTTTCTCTAGTTTAGTTCTGATTGAGTAAAATAGATGTTGGTGGTGGAAAGGTAAAGAGTTTTAATTGGACAGAGGGTGTGACATAAGGACCTTTGGCGAAGGAGTAGGAAACTGTCAAGGAGCCGATTTCTGATGGTCAATGACGTGATTTATAAGTGCCGTCCGTCCGTCGCTTGTTGGGTCTGTCACAAGTGGGTCCCATCTGTCGCGTCTGGTACTAGTAAAATTCCTAATTTTGCTTTACCTTTATAAGCTTAATCCGCTAGAACGGCGTTGAGGCACATCGAAACTCCGGAATTGCAGTCGCATTATAAAATATAAAATAAACCGTTAAGTCTGTTAAAAGTGTAAGCCTTAATTATAAAATCATATTCTAAATACGCTCTCCGGGACGGAACAGAAAGGATTAAATACATGTTCTCTTACAATTAGAATCATAAAGATCATAAATAAATCAAGAATTTAGAAAACAGTCGTAAAAAGGAAACATTTAAACTATTTGTTATAAATATCTGACTCGGATATTTATTATATCTCTAAGAGAATTCTGATTGACTTTTATATCGTAATTGAATAATATTATTCCTATAAATAATACAATATAATGTACCTGCAGATGTGGCTTGTTCTGGATCTCTTAGTAACTTGGTACTGACTGAATACTCCATAGTACTAGAAAGTGGATGGAAATACATTGTGCTGTATCCATCGTTAGTCGATGCAAGGCTCATGCCGAAGAGACCATCTGTCCATTTGAACGAAATCCCCGACACATTGAACTCTCCACCCTTAATAAAATTCCAATTTTGTAAGTTAAATACATACAGTTAAATACATACAGTAGCGCAGGAAAATATTCAAACGCTATATTATTATTTTATATTAACCACTTGCGCTAGTAAGAAATTTACAGACATGTGTGCTAGAACGGTCCAGTATTTCTGTGACAATTGCCTGACGACGTGCATACCACGTTGTTGGCGATTCTGCGACAAAAGCATTACAACGTGCGTGGCACGTCTTTTCAGCGCAAGTGGTTAAACCGTGAAATATCATTTCATCGGTATAATTATCCTATAAGAATAAATACTATATTCCCGACCCCGTACCCAAGTTTCGGAAACGCTCTATATAGATACTTGAATATTTATCTACGATAGAATAAATAGTTTAGGCTTGTCAGATCTTGGGTATAAACCTTTTTTAAGTACTGTAAAAATTTTTGAAATTCGTGGCAATATTGTACGAGAGAATAAGTGTCGAAAATGACGGACATAAAGTATCAATAAAATATATGCTATACGCGTGAAACTTCTTTTAATCGATCTTTGTACTTTTCTGATTTTATTTACCGACTCAGTTTATACATTTTTCCGTAATTCAGTTTTATTTATGCTTTCAACTAAATATTTTTACATCAAACAGAACCTCGGTGATATATTGTTCTGTCTATGAATATTACTCAAATAAATATTTAAGTCGTTTGTCCCCCACAATTGAAAGTTTCAATATATATTATATATAAATATATTATATACAATGGTTTTATATTATTTTCTAAAATCATTTTCCAAAAATAAATACCCTATTTAAAGAATAAGAAGTTAAAAAATGGTAAAAACGACGTAAATTTGAACAAAATATAGAGAAATATGGATAAATCGTCTAAACAATTATAATTATTAACAAAATAAATAATTAAAATCATATGAAAGTGTTAAAACTATAAAATTTTTATAAAATGGGAAACATAATTTTGTATTATTTAACACGTTGAGTGCGGCGCCAATTTTGCTATACTTTCCGCTCAGGCGGCAGTTAGTGAGCACTTGATGCCGAGCGCTCAAGTATACCGAAGGGTTTGAGCAGAAGATTACTTTGTTTCACTTTGTCGTTTGGACTGTGAGAATGGTACAGCCAATGCACAAACATACAAATTATAAACAGAAGATAATGGGGTGGGGAATGCCAGAAAGGCAAAAAGGCGATCACCAAGAAACGATCAGTCGAAAAAAGCCACGGAAGTGTAAAGATTTACTTTAGCAGAGGGAATTAAATTTTTACAATATATTAATTGTCATTGATAATTTAACCCTTGACAATGCCAGTCTTACGCACCGATGATGATCAAACGAAAAATTCGCTGTCAGTCCCTAGAATCCACACCGTCCAAACGAAAAGTCTACTGTCAGTCCCTAGGGACTGACGTAGCACTCAACGTATTAAAATGGTAATATTATTTTTAAAATAATAAGGACTACTAACTTGTGGATCAGGTTGGAAGAAATGATGTTTGACGAGCCATGATTTCCCCATCCTCCACGAGTAGACTACGAGTCCTGGGCCACCCAAGTCACCTAGATAAGCATAAGTATCTTCGCAAGAATAATCTTCAACGGCAATATTCGCGAAAAGGGAATCCGACGTCTTTTGATCTTCAGGAACAACGAATTTTCGTAGTAATCTATCGGTTTTCAAATCATAGATGAGCAATGCCGGTGGTGCTTGCTGTTCTGGGCTATCCAAGATATCGGTGAACCCCGTGTCAAGGACCCAAAGCCTGTCACAGCGATCTGCTCGGATTCGAAACGTTGAAATGATCTCTGGTACGCTGTCACCTTCGTATTGATGCGCCTCCCAAGAAGGATAGGGGATCAGAGTTGGAGATTCGCGTGTATCTAGAATCACCACGATAAACAATAATTATTTTAGGCTTATTTTATCATTTAATAAATACAAAGTCACGATCGTCTTACGTAATCAAGAAATAATTAAAAGTAAAAAGTGAATAAAGAAATGAGACTTCTTTGAAGGACAATGTTATTGTAAGGGAAGGAAAGGGGATGGCTATTTAACACTAGATTTACGGAACCCGTCAATTTGACGGAAGGGTTGCTCCAATTATACGATAGTAACAGATTTAGTTATATTAAGACTGTTAATATAGTATATAATTGTTTTTAAATTAAAATAATCGTTTAAAAAAAAAAGGCACGTGGTTTCCTTTACCTGTCAATTTGACAGGTGTCCTTAGAAACAATGTGAGAGGAGTCTTTATTTGGATGGCGTCACCCTGCATCGGGATTTATGTTTGCTTCGAGAAACCATCAAAATTATCAATTTTCGAAGCAGAACTGAGTGACGCAATGGGTCGTCATAGGGTCTATAAGAACCTGGCTGAAGGGTTCGAGGGAACAC